TTCACTCGTCCTGGTTTCTCTCCCCTTGCATATGTCGGGAGTTTTCTTGAGGTGTGCTGTGTCTGTGTGTGTGTGTTAGCGTGTTTCTTAGCTGTCTACGCAATTAAAAGTTTAATATAATTAAATGGTTTTATGACTTTGACTGTGCACCGAGTTTTGCAGTCACTTGCTCCCTTTTTATACTCCTATACCGAAAAAAAAAATATACTTGAACATTTTTTCTCAAATAATTTAGAAAAATATTTTCTAGCCAAATTTCATTGCTTTTTTTATTTAAGCACTTATCTCCTATAATATTTTTGGTGACTTGCCTTAAATAAGTTTTTTCCCGTGCAATTTTTGACTACTCTCAGACACGTTTTTAGAAGCAGCATCTGAAGACGCTGGCTGGTAAACACGTGCACTTTAAAATCCCCCAAAGCAAATAACAAGCTGATAGCAAACTGGAGCAAACATTTGCTCCTGCTATCCCACGACTCCTGATTCTCCCCTCAAAGTGATTAAGCCATCAAAGTTTGCTTTCGACACGCAGCATTAACGCTTCGACTTTGCTTAGCCGTAGATGTTAGCCAAGTGCAGCGTTCGGGGCCGAGAGCCCGGTAATTACTTGGCCAGCGAGAAGTTTTGGGCCGACATCAGCAGAAATTGGCTAGCAGGAAGAGTCGCCAAATGGGCAAAGAGGGCCCGTCGCAATTTCGTCGCCGTCGTCGTTTTGGAAAGTCAATGTCGATGTCATTGGGACTCCGACTTACGTCCCCCAGTCTCCGCAAATCCTCTGCGAAAACTCAAGCGCCAACGGCACTTACAAATGATGGAAGCCGCCACGCCCTCTTCACATGTGGACGCGAAACTACATACGTTGTTTATATATATATGCCCAAGTCATGAGCAATTTTGGAGCACGTAAATGGCCGAATTGCCGTAGTTAATATTGTACTTTCTATGGATGCTTCACGATTTGAAATAGTACAATTGTTAAGAAATGTTAAAAATCGTTTCAGGTATTCCGCACAAGAATACGATTGTAATTGGCGAAGATATAGCCTTCGATGGGCGCCACACGAATATTCCCCCCATAGGGAATCGATCTAGAAATCGTTTAAGGTATTCCGCTCAAGATTCGGGTGATTATTGGCAAAGATATGGCCTTCGATGGGTGCCATATTTTCGGTCCTAGCATTTTCCCCATTTTTGAAAGGGACCCTCCAGAAAATTTTACAAAAAATGTAAAAAATATTTTGTTTGTAGATTTTTACAGAAATTAGTATAGAATCGATCTAGAAATCGTTTAAGATATTCCGTTAAAGAATCGGATAAATATTGGAAAAGGCCACTTCGGCTTGAGGCCACTTCGGCGTTCAGTGGATTTGCTCCATTTTTGAAGGGAACCATCCAGAAAATTTGACAAAAAATCGAAAAAATATTTCGTTTGTAGATTTTGATTCAGATTGATAGAGAATCCTTCCACAAATCGTTTAAGATATTCCGCTCAAGAATCGGATAATTATTGGCAAAGATATGGCTATCGCTTGAGGCCATTTCGCCGTTCAGTAAATTTTCCCCACTTTTGAAGGGAACCATCCAGAAAATTTGACAAAAAATCGAAAAAATATTTCGTTTGTAAATTTTGATGGAGATTGATAGAGCATCCTTCCACAAATCGATTAAGATATTCCGCTGAAGAATCGGATAATTATTGGAAAAGATATGGCCATCGCTTGATGCAATTTTTCGGTTCAGTGCATTTTCCCCATTTTTGAAGGGGACCATCCAGAAAATGTGACAAAAAATCGAAAAGATATTTCGATTGTAGATTTTAATGCAGATTGATAGAGAATCCTTCCACAAATCGATTAAGGTATTCCGCTCAAGAATATTAATGGGGATGATATGGTTTCCGATGGGCCCATTTTTGAAGGGGACGCTGAAGGGGAAAATTGAAGGTTTTTTAAGTTTTTGGTCTTATTGACATTGTTTTGGAAATAACCAAATACCTTCAATAAATTCTGATACCAATAAAAGACCAATTTAAACAGGCCTTTCAAAAACTATCTTAAATTTATTTCAACCTATTTTTTCCCAGTTTAATCACTGTAATTAATGCAGCATTTAAGGCTTAGTTTCATCCTGCTTTGTTTCAAATACCGTTTCCGAAATATTTGGCTCATTTGCATAAGCATTCTCTAATACACAGACAGACAAACCCTCACAACGCCGCATAATGCAAAAGGCAATTCTGGGAACGGACAGCCTGGCAGGGCCAGTTCGGTCCCAAAAGCGATTGTCCCATCAGAAAAATGCTACAAAAATCATGCATAATATAAATTAATAGCCATCAACTCTTAAATTTCGGTAGCATTTTTAAACCGGGCCTTCCGGGGCTTTTGCCAGCCAACCCCCAACCCCCAACCCCCAACCAGCCACCCGCCACGCCGTTTCATGGCAAATTAGTAGCTCGTGGGCATTTTAATTGCGTCCAGCAGCGGGTTGTGTTTTACGGGGGCTGGAATGGCGGATTGGGGCATAGGATGGTCAGGGTCGGTTATGTGCGTCAAAAAATAAAATGAATTCATTTGTACCCTTTTCAAAGCTGTATAAAAGAAGGCTAAGACGCGGCACGCGGTCCCCCAAATGACTTAACTCATTTAATGTGGCTCTAATGGGATACAATTTAAATTTAATTGATTTGCCCGACAAGCTTTTTATGGCCGCAAGAATTTCTCTAAATTAAAAATGCCTTTTCGCAGTGTTTGTGTGTGGGCTGTTGGGTTTCGTAAAAATGCGCACCGCTTTAAAGGGCGTCAAGATTAATTCATGTTTTGTGCCCTCCATATTGATTAAATATGCAGAGCAACGCCGGGGCCTCAAAGAGTGCCTGACAACAGTTTGCTTGGTTGGATTTTTTTTTATTCGCAGTGGCTCGCTGATTTATTGGTTTAATGCACCCAGGAGCGGCAGCAGCAGCACCACCACCAGCACCACCCGCATAAACAGAGCGCAACAAACCACAGCGGGGGAGTTGGGACAACCTTTGCTGCCCGCCGCCATTTCTTAGCCTGGCAGCTAATTTATGTGCGCACGCGGCAAGAAAATGCTGGCGAAAGGATACGCCAGGAGCCAACCGAGGTCCGGGACAGGACACGGAAAATAATTTTGATTTTTCCACCAAAAAAAATAATATGGATTCTCCTAGGAAGTGGGTCGATACCATGACTTATGTTGATCTGAAATTTTGATTACTACCTAAAATCTCTAAGTGTAAGAGTCTCTTTGTATATTTTATTATTTGAAAACATGCTAATCCTTCATTTAACTCACATCTTAAAACAAGTTTCTCTCGGTGCTCAAAACAGAGTACATTCCCTCATTTTTTGCATAGTGAAAATTATGCTTCCTGAGGAAATTGGGGGAAAGTGGGAGGCTCAGATGTCAGCGAGCGTAAAAATTCGCATTTTAATATTTGCCAGTAAGCTGGGCTGCGTTGGCAGCTGATTTGCCATAGGTCCTTCCGCGCCCGTCTCGAGGTCCTTTTTCCTTCCTTCTCGCTTCACCATTTCACCGGCTCTTTTCTCCTTCGACTTGTTTGCCTGCCACTTTATCTGCGCCCAGCAGCTGGCGTTTGTTTGCGGTTCCATCGCGCGTTGCGTGTTGACTTTTGTGTCTGAGCCACCTTTCAACTGCAACTAATTTATTTTATTTGCCAGCTGACGGCACTGGCCCCTCTCACCTGCCCTGTCCCCTAAATATGATTCAAAACAAGCATTAGAAAATGTATTGCACGGCCCGGGGCTGAGTTGCATTTGATACAAAGTGTTTTGACGTTAAGAGCTGCGAGTTGAGTGTCGAGTGCCCGCCATTCTAGCCAGGCCAGGACAGGCTGCAAATGAGTTTTGTTATCTGAAAGCCAGCAAGCAAACAAATTACATTACTCTTCTGCTGAAAAACTTGCAGCGGCCTGGACTTGATGAGAAACCTCTTCTCAAGTGGCTTTTAGACTTTTCGGCTTCAGAGTAGGAAAATATGTTGACCAAAAAATTTAATAATAATAATCAGCTCAGTTTCACCAGCAGTGTTAGATTATTTGAATTTCAGTTATTAATATTTCAAACAAATTTTAATGCTTCTTTTTGGATAAGAGTAATCATTAACGAAATTTGTACGGCTTTCGGTTTTATGATCATCGGGCATAAATAAGCAAATAAGTACTCAGCCCCTGCGGCCATTATTTAGCGTAATTAAATTGCGCATGGAAAATAGGTAAATTATGGAATGTGAAACGGTCGTAAATTTCCCGCTTGTTGCGCTGAGTTGGCCGTGTCCGTTGACCAAACTGTTGCTCTGCCTCGCACTCTCTTACCAATGCTGCTGCTCCTGCCACTGACCTTCCGACTGTTGATTTTATTAAAATCATTTCCTTTTTTATGCCCATTGGGCAGCAACAACGGTGCACTTAATTACAACTGCATTATAATAACGTTACAATTATTGTTATTATTTTTTACCGAAGCATCCGAGCCATTGTCCCGACCACATTTATAAAATGCCCATTATTCATGGCCTGGTCAGAGGCTATTAATGTCGGCTGGCCAAACATCAGGGATGCGAACGGACGAATTTCAAAATAAATTAAATTTTTATGTGTACATGCGAAATGTATTAAATGTTTTGTGCATAAGAAACTCCTCTTAATGAGACGCACAATTAATGCATTCGAGTCGGGGGCTCCATAAAACCGATGCCATAAATTCAGCTCTCTGCACTGGTAATTAGTGGCCAAGGTTAATGGGCAACAGGACGACGGGTTCATCAGGAGGATGGGAGAAGACAATATCAAAATTCAGCTAAATCGGGATGAAGCAAATAATTTCGTTCATTGCAGAGTTTTTTTATTTTATTCCATATTTGTGCAATCTTGTGATAAAAGCATAATTTTTATTTTGAATTGGTGAAAAGGTTCTGTGTACTACTTGACCACAAATAAAAAAAGATAAGCTTTTTTATTAGCCTCTTTTCATCAGCATAGATGCACTATAAATAAGCTTTATAATCTGTTGAAAAGTATAATGTATTTATGATTAAATATGTATAATCCATATATTTACCTGCAAAGCTGTTCTTACGGACAAGGACCAAACTCCAAGCAGCTTAATATTATGAGGACTCTGCGATTCTCGTAGAGTCATGCCAAAAATCTTCCTCTGTTCGCCTGACAACTCGTACCAGGAAACATTGAAAATGTTTTCATAGACCTCGTCATACTGTAATATAATTAAAATTATCTTTAATTCTATTGAATATTGAATACATACAGAAAATTCGATCTGAGTTCCCATTACGCAGTATACTGACATGCAATAGGCGGCCAAAAGAAAATTGATTGCAGATGGTACGTGCAAACCGTTTAAATTAATGCAAAAAGTGGCCAAGATTTCATAAGCCATGGCCAGAACTTGAGTGGTAATTAGGGGATTGTATAGATTATTCACTCTTTGGCAGTAGCTGTAAGAAAGAGTTAATTTTTTCAAAGTTGTTCCATTGTTACTGATTCTTACTCTGTGAATAGCTGATGCCATTTTATCATTTCTATAAGCAACCTCTGACGATCTTCTTCGCCCCCGATCTGTTCACCGACTGGCAGCAGAGCTCTCTTTTCCTCCTTGAGTTTTAAAACAGAATTCAGCTCCTTTATTTTTAGTTTAAGGATGTCCGAAAAGGTTAAAATTTGTGTCAAACCAAGCATAACAAACAAATCGCCGGCGTAAAAACCAAAACCTCTAACACATATCGTAAGCTGGAAACATCGGTATTAGATATTTTTAAAATACTTTCGAAAATATCAACAAACCAAATGGATCAAGAACGTTAGAAAGTATCCGAAATTCTTCTGAATTGGCAAGCCAGGTATCTCGTACATCAACACAGTCATCCGGGAGTCATTGTAGGCAAACATTGCTAGCGGAGTAAAAACCATTAGAAAATTTGTTACCATATATCCGTATCCAATTCCTTTCATAAATCTCAGCAGTCGATCGATGTTTGCATCTAAAGTGGAGGAATAGGAAGGATTCCTTTTCTCGTACTCATCGTAAATGTCTTGGGTAAACAAGGTCAAGCTTCGCATATCTTTTTGTCTCACAATGCAGGTCAAGAACTTTGCCGTGCCGTGCGTTACTCCTCCTATCATAAGACCGGCTTTCAAACTGACTAGCCAATCACCTCCGTTGTCCACGATCGAGTATATAGTAAAGACCGTAAAGTTAATAATGGCGAAGATCGTGGTCCATGTGCGATAGTTAAATTTTAGTACTGGGGCCAAAATATCCACGCCCAGCAGGTCTGTCAAACTGTTAATATACTTGGCTAGATCGCAAAAGCGATTTGCGGGAGTTGTTGACACAGGATTGCTCATTTTGTTTGTATCTGATTTGAAAAATAAGGGCCTTACCTTTTATAGGGAAATGTTTGTTTTGGTTCCCTTGAATCAGTTGCACATGTCGTTGCAATTATCGTCATTAGAAGCTAATGATGGCTGGGTTATTAAAAGTCTTTTTAATTGATAGAGGGGCAAAGTAATTTCATGAACGGTAATATACCAATATTATTTCTTCATTCAATGTCTTTTTTAAATTTAATTTCTTAAAGTCTTTTTAACAATGTATATCAAATTCTGAGTCAACCAAGACTAAGACTTCCTAGCCCGATGTTAGGTAACGTAATATTAATACAATGTACTACTCCTGCTCTTTGTTGCCCCTTTATCAGAATGTAGAAGCCATTCCCTGGCCACGCCCACAATTATGAGCCTTTGTTTCGAAAGTCCGTCGATGGCATTCATCATACGCACTGTTGTCTAATACACTTCAGAGTGCGGAACGTTATTAGTCAGCCCCCCTGAATAGCCTGGAAGGTATTTCCATTCCCCATTCCCCATTTCGCATTCCCCATTCTCCAGTTCATTGTCTGGTTTTTGTTATTAATTTCCAAGCTATAAATTTTACTTTGCCACATTTCTAAAGGCCAATCCTCAACTAAAACTACTCGCTTGTACTTGGGCCTGGAGATTGGGTCACCGGAGTGGGACTGGGAGTGGGATGAAGCCTCACCTTTTGCACGCTCGAACAGCTTTTGGTTTTTGTCTGTGGTATTTTGTTATTCTGGCCGATCCGGCAGCTTCGCCTTCCATCTGCTGCATCTTTTGTTTATGCCTCACAATGGCCTGCCGCAGGTTTTTACTGCCTGCCATTGTATGTGTCTGTGTGTTAGTGTGTGAGTCGGCTGTGTGTGTGTTTGATTTTTGTGTTTTTTCTTCTCCTTGGCTGCCTGCCTATAAAATGCAATGGAATTTCATATTGTGCGACTATATATATCGGCATCAACATAATGCTCTCGGATAATATTCCCAGGCATTTTTGCGTTGCGGCACGTAAAAAATTCAGGATGTACACACACATGGCCCTACATGCCCTTGCGTTTGATGTTTAATCAATTGAAAATGTGAGTGTGTGCCATTGATGGCGGCGCTTCATCCAGCGTTAAACTCCCACCCCGCTTTTCGCCCAAAAACCTTGCAAACTCTGGCTTGATTGTCTGCCTCGAGTTGGCATATCCACATAATGCTCCTATGCTCAACCTCTGTCACCTCAGCCGGGCTCAGATTTCCAAGCCGACTTCCGCAACTTTCCGCCGGCTGTTTGCCGAGGACAAACTGCAGTCAGGACCTAAGAAAAAACATTAGCAAGATTGCAAGGTGCGAGTGGCAGTGCGTGTGCGGGGCTCACATACACATTTATTCACCATCCGCTTCCTTATTGAAAGGGAATTGAACGCTCGGCATGCAGCTCGGCTCCTTTGGATCCTTTTCGCTTTTGCCGCCTTGCCGCATGCCGCTTGGCGTCTTGCCGCCTGAATGGCGCAAAGGGGAATAAAAATTACAATATCGCCGGCAATGCAATGGAAATGGAAGGCAAACAACAGGCACAACTACAACCGCACGCAGAAGCACTTGAAAAAATAGTTTTAAAATTAAAATTTAGTTTTGGAAAAATAAACGAAGTCTCCTTCTGTATTTATGAAAACCAAGCTAAGGGTAAACTTTTACTATCCTTACTTTTAATTCAAAAATTTTTATCTGTGCACTTGCACACAAAGGAAAATTGTGAGCCCCAAGCTGCCTACCAAGGCATTCATGCATGCGTGTGGGTGTATGGGTGCGTGGGAGAGTGTTTCTTGTATTGAAACTTCCTTTAATGGCTTCCGGTTATCATTATTGGCACAAGGCATTGTCCGTCCCGCTCTTGCGGCTGCGTGTCTATAAAGATTAAACGCATTGTTCTTTGTTGATTCTTTTCGTCATGCAAAGAAATTAATATTCGCAATCCATTATCGTTTCTAATAGCTCACATACGGCCATCTCTACACACAGCCACACCAATTCACATACAAACACCTCCAGTTCTTTAACACAATGGAGAATATTTAATAACCTTAATGGGCGGCTTAAAGCCTTAAAGCGTATCGCAACCTTTGACCGATGTCCCACTGCCCCCTAATGCATAATCAATCAATCGAACGCTTTAAGCTCCTGACTAATATGCAGCAAAAAGGGCCCTGGCCTGGGCAATCTTTTAAAGTGTCCTTGCTCCTGGGCCACACAGATACCGGATACAGATACACACATTGATAGATGGGCGGGCTCCAGTACGTCAGCGTCATTCTCTCCGGCTAATGATGACAAATTTTTTATGGGCATTATGAGTGCCAGTGACTTAAAGCGTGTGGGACAGGCTAAGTACAGAGAGAAAAATATGGTTTTAGTAAAGGTCTTCAATCCCTTTATTCAAAAAAATATTAAATGAGTCATAAATGTGGGAAAACAATTTAAGAAAAATAATAGATGTGGTTTCCTAATTTTGTTATTACACATTATCATTTTTTGTACAGTGTAGCTAAAGAATTGTGGGCTTGTTGTCTGTTTTCCGTTTCCCCCCATTGGCCAACCCTTGGCCAGACTGGGGCTCTTTATTAATTTGACAGCATCAACAGGAGCTGGCTGACTTGGCACGCTAATGATTGAAATGAACTCCGGCATGGTCGCCGGTCTTCTGTCCCCGGACTCCCACTCCCCCTACTCTTCGGTGCCCTGGTCTCTAGAGCAGGAAAAGCCAGTGAAACGCCTACCGTCTAACAAACCGGCAGCAGCTTGATTGATGGTTATCACTCACTGGACGCCGAGAAGAGCCACTACAAGGACGTCAGATTAAATGCTGTAGGTGTGTCATAACTTTTTCTCTGTGCCTGGCACTCGCCCGACTCCCAATCCCAATCCATTGTCCTGTATTGCTTCTTTGTTTGGGGGACATTTGGGCACTTGTCATCTCCTGACACAAATGCCGCACCCAGACGCTAAGTATGCAAAAGTAAGGATCACAAAAAGCAGAGTGCAAATATGGATTCCAAAAATATATCCTGCCATGTCACTTGCGAGTTGTAAAAGGAAACGAAAATAAACCGCCATTGGTCATGTTTGAAAGCAAATAAAGCCAATTAACGAATGCAAACATCCCACATATTTTTTATATGGTTTATTTTTATTTTTTATCGAATCAGCTAACTGGCAGGTGAAGACAATTTAAATTAATTGAAAAAATATTGTTAAAGGATATAACATTTCTCATTTGCACGCTGACAGCTTTAATACCTAACTCTTTGGGAAACAAACATTTTATTCTTTGGAAATGATTTCTTGTGTAATCTGATTAGCTAAAATCCAAGGAAATCATATTGCTAGGCAAAACCATGTTCAGCATACTGTATATTTATGCTTAAAAATAACATCCTTGTATCCCTTTCATGCTTGTCCCAGCACGTGGATAAGGATTTGATGGGTCTCCATTTTTTTTGGTGGTGGAGGTCAGAGAAAGCCACCTTTGATGCCATCGAGCAAGACCCCGAGCAATTGTAGGCCAAAAAAAAGCCCAGCTTTTGGCTCAAACATAGGTTAAGAGTAAAATTCCTACAGTATAAGCCAAGAATTGGGAGAAAGAGAATTTTTCGGGGCTGGAAAATCTCTCATCGAGTGGAAAGCGTTTTTTCAGACAGTAAGCCATGTGAGGAAATTCGCTCTTAACTAGAAGAGAAATTTCCGCTGAATGGAAAGTATAAGAGTGAAAAATTAAACTTGACTCGAAATAAGGAAGGAAATTTTTCTTCCTCATGGTTTCAAAATGGTCTAATGACTTAAAAGTCTTACTTGTTGCTAAACTTTAAAAATTTTCAAAATCTCTAGATTTTCTTGTAAAATAAAATTTATTTTAAATTTCCTAATATTTTAAATAAACAAAGCGTAAATATTTTGCTTCCATTTCCATCACCATGTGTTCTTCATGAGTCCACAATCAAGGACATCGATGGGCACTGGACGGCAGAACGGAAACGGAAAAAATGAGATTTATGACGTGTACAATGGCAGCCTGGGAGCCAGTCCGATGGCCAGGTGGAAACTGTGGGTGGAGGTGCGAAGGGCGAAGGTGGGCCACTTATAAATAAAAGTATGTGTGTGTACATACCATAAATGTTGGGTGAATTATTAAAATAAAAGTGAAACGGAAACGTAACAAAGGTTCGGCGGCAGCATTTATGACAGGAAAACGCGAAACGCAACACAAAGAGATTGCTGTGGCACGCATCTAAAACGAGATATGCCACGCCGGAAATAAGCGCCCCATACAGCAGCACAGCTTTCGTACACACACGATAATGTTTACGCACTGGCAAATCAAGATCCCCTATAAGTAGGCTTCATTTGCCAAGCAAATGTTGCCCAACAAAAAAAACAAAAAAGTCTTGAGAAAAAAAATGGATACTCTTTATCCGGGATGCTTATAATATTTTTATAGGATTTCTTTCAAAAAGTATGGAATTTATGTGTATAAAATGGGTGTTTAATAAATTAAAATATATTTTTTGTTAGGCACTTTTATTAAAAATCATGCATATTTTTGTTAAAGCTAAGAGGAAATATGAGATCCTAAAGCAGAAATCCCTGGAGCTATCATGAAGTATTCTTGTTGGCCCAAATATCCGTGTCCTGCAGAATATGCTCTCCAAGATAAGCCATTAGTGCGGACTGCCTTAAAGAGTACGCCACGGTGGGCAGGCTTACTAGCCGAACTAAATACGTGGAGTACAAATGTATGCATGTAAACAAGCGCCCACTTAAGCAACCTGCTACGCCTTCGCCAAACTGCTCCTCTTACCAATCAGCCAGAAGTCCCTCCCGCCTCTACCCTGTGTATTAATGTTCATTGAAGCGATCAAAATCAAGTCGACTACGGCTAATGCTACGCACATTTCAGAGTTTTTTCTTGCAATATATACACGCTGGCCCGATCCTACCCGTCGATGGCCCAA